CATATATTCTTCTTCTGTCATCCTTATTCATTGTCCAGCTTTCTGATACATAGCAAGTAATTGTGAAGGCCATGGCCTGGTTCAGGTGCACTTTAGTTTCTAGACTTACATTGTTGCTCTTTGGCAAACTGGAGAGGTCCCTGACCAATATTGTGGTGCTATGTCTTTCTTCAAGTCTGTTAACTGTTGTTTTATGAGTTTTACAAGTCTATCATTTGTTCCATACATGTTGATCAAAGTTATGTCTTCTTGATCTATTGTGCCTTTAATCATTATTTAGTGTATTTCTTAATGTTTTATGGTGGTGTTTATCATGAAGTCTATTTTATCAAAGATTAGTATTGCCACTCCTGCCTTTTTTGTGGATGCCATTTATATTTCTTTCCAGCCTTTGATTTTTAGTCTATCTTTTTCCTTGTTTCTTAGATGTGTTTTTTGTAGGCAACATATAATTGGATTTTTAAAAATCCATTTTACTACTCTTTTTCTCTTAACAGATACATTTAATGACATTTTACATTAAGTATGATTATTGACAGGCCAGGTTTTATCACTGTCATTTTACTGTCTTTATTTTTCTGTTATTTGTGGTTTTCACGGTCCATCCACTTTTCTTTAGTGTGAGGTACTTCCCTTCAAATTTCTTGTAGATTTGATCTTGTTTTCACAAATTTCTTAAGTTCTTGCTTTTCTGTGAAAGAGCTATTTTTTCCTTCATATTTGATTGTCAGCTTTGCTGGCTACTTGATCCTCACCTGGCAATTGTTTTCTTTCAGCCTTTTATATCTTCCATACTATTGTGAGATGGATTGACACAGTGACTGGGGTAATGGAGGTAGGTGTGTCAGAGATGTTAAGGTTGGCTCAGGATAGAGCAGGGTCAGAACTTTTGTACATAGTGTTGCTCTGAGTTGCAAGCAACTCAAACAACAACAACAACAATTTTCTCCTTGCTTGCATTGTTTCTGCCAAGAAGTCAGAGCTTAATCTAATGGGTTTTCTTTTGTCAGTGACCCTGTTTTTCTCATGATGCTTTACTATTCTATCCTTATCTTTATTTTGGAGAATTTGACTGTGATAAGCCTTCCCCAACCCAAGAAATGAAGAGGCCTTTATTGCCTAGTATGACAGGGATGCCAAGTGACCATGAGTGGAGAAGATCAAAATGGTGCAAGGGCAGTCAAGGGTGATTTCTTTTTTTAGGGGTTTTAAGGAAGACTAGGGATTTTGCTTGGAATTTGGGGTTGTTAATTAACTAGGATATGGGCTTTTGTGAGTCTATATATTTTTTTAAGGGTTTCAAATGTACTTTATTTCTTCAATAATGTCTTATTTTAATGAGTACATAGTGTTTTTCCTCGACATCAATTATAAGTTGATTTTGAAAACAATTCAATATTATACCACTAGCTGATTTGATTATTGATCTCTCCATTTCTTTGGGGTGACTCTGCCAACAGGGGACAAGTTCCATACTATCCCAATTTGTGTTGTTGTGTAAGCCCACATAGCAACACAGAAAGTAGTTCCAAAAGCTAAGATAGCATTACCATATTTGTCATGGAAATCAGGTACACGTTTCTGGTGGCTTTGTCTTACCATTATTTGCTTAATGCTTCGAAAATTATTGCTCACCTTGAAGACGACTTACAACGGTTTTAGCTAAGAGAAACATCATGAAGAAGTAAACGGAACTCTGGTAACTGCTGCTGCTTCGGAAAAAAACTGAGTCTATATTTTTATGAGTTTTGTGAGTCTATATTTTTATGAGTCTATTCAGGATCCGTTGTCTGGTCTGGTTTCTGGTCTGGTTGCATTAGACATTATTAGATTTCTTCAAGGGGTGAGCAGGCCACGGGCAACTGCTACATTCTTACTCCATTTCAGACCCTAAAGGAGTATGAAAATTAGGGGCAGAGTTTTTTTCTAGCTACTTCCTGCTGAATTGGGACGATGTTGGGAGGGCTGGTGTTGGTTTCTTGTAACGTCTGAAGGAGAAGTATCATTTCATGTATTCTTGGGCAGTTGAGGAGATGACAATGAGGAGATTTATTAAAAATTTCTGAAAGAAATTTATGAAACAGGGAGCAAGAATTATAAAAATGAAGAATGACTAGAAAGCTAAGTAGCTAAGTAGCTACGGGGAAATTCCTGCTTGCCACGAGGTCCCTGATTGTCTATTTAGGGTGTTAATTTATAGAAACAACAGTCTTCTCCTAGAAACAGGCAGAGACCACTTTTTTTCTATACTTAAGAGAATGAGTCCTCTCCTTTTTTAAATAGATCTGTTGCTAGGGACTCAATTTGGTCTTGTCTCAGCAATGAGGAGAGCAGTAATAACATCTAGTGACTTTTGAAGAACTTCTGAGAGATGCTAGAGTTTTTCTAGGGAGTTGCCTAGGCCTGTAATGCCAGTGTCTACTTGTGCTATTATTTTCAGGCCAGATACTAAAGGGAGGAGTCTTGTTATGATTTGCTTGTGTTTGAGGTGCTGGGTTAGAGGGATAGGTATTAGTTCAGAGTTGGCTTGATTGGCAGGAAGGAGTAGATGCTATGTCTGCAGATGACTATGATATGTCTTAACGTTTTTCTTTTGAAGTCTAGTCTGGAGTTCACTGAGCTTTTTGAATGTGGATTTCCTTGTTCTTTCTTGTAGGTGTATTTTTCTTCTTGGTTCACAATTTTCTCAGTGCTTTCCTTTCTCCCATAATGTGTTGAAATTCTCATCATACATTTGTTGTTTATTTTGGTGTTATTCTAATGTTTTCTTCATTTCCCTTCCATCTCTTTTTTGTTTTTTCTTCTAGTATGTTGTTATTGAAGTTCTTGCTTTCTAATTTGCTAATTCTCTGTTTCATCTCTTTTGTTCTGCTTTTTTTTTGGTCCTTCTAGCATGTTGGAAACTTTCACCATTTTGGTCTTGATATTCTGGACTGCATTTTCATGCATTTCTATTATTTCTAGTGTTGTGTTGTCTGCACATTCTTGGTCCTGTGACAATTTTTAATCTTCTTGTACTTCTTTGTTTAAGATTAATGTTCTTTCTTCCAAGTTTTGCAATTACTTCAGTAGTTGTTTATGTTACTCCACAATGATATATTTCTTCTGGCTCCCTGCCTCTAGAGTATTCACAAATAAAGTAAGCATTCAAAACTCTACTTATGGCTTCCATTCTTTGGTACTTTCTTCCATCATTAGTATCTTCTTCAGTAGCTATTCATATAGTTCTATGTCAATATATTACTTTTGCCTCCCTGTCTCTGGGGTATTCATTGGGTTTGTAATGTAGTCTGCTTTTTAAGAGAAGGCTTTTTTCCTTCTTTTTTTTTGTTCCCCCTCCTGATGTTTGAGACCACTTGCTGCTATTTTGGCATTATGTAAAGTTTTTCTTATTATGTGTTAGGCCATTTCTGTCGTGTCTTCACAAGTTGTTGATAGTTTTTTGTACTTATGCCATTGTTGATTTAGGTGCAAGATTAAAGTGTTCTTTTTATGGGGAAGGCAACTTTCTCTACCTGAGGTTCTTTTTGGTCCTGTGCAGCAGGAACATTTGCCTTTCCTAAAGTCATTCATGATCTCTTCCAGTGCAGCCCTTGTAGCAATTTCACCTGAGATTGACCCACCTCTCCTAAAGTTTATTATTGTTCTTGTTGTTTGACTCATGACCAGGTTTCTTAACAGGCATTTCTTCGGGGATGTGCAGGCAGCTACCTCCCTGGTCCCCACTGTGCCCACTCTGGTCATGCACAGACATCAGGAGTCTCTCACCTGATTGCTGTCCATGTCTCCTAAAGTCTGTTATTGTCCTTGATGGTCTGCAGTGCTGCCTGTGACCAGTTTCCTCAACTGTTTCTTTTCCACTAATGGTTTTTGATGATATGCTACTTCCTGAAATGGTTCTGTGTCCACTAATTCTTTTTGTACAATGACTCAGTGGATTTCTTCCATCTTCTTTTGATACTTCCTGCATCATTCTGGATTTTGCCTATAGCAACCTTCAATATCGCAATGTGAGGCTCAAATTTGTTTTTTAGTTCTTTCCATTTTAGAAATGCCAAGTGAGTTCTTCTTTTGTTTTCCAACTCCAGCTCGTTGCTCATTCCTTCATAATACTTGGCTTTGTGTTCTTGTCTTGTCCTTTGAAAACTTCTGTGCATAAAGTTGCTATTATATAGAGTTGCTAATTGAAAGATTGGCAGTTTAAATCTACTAACCATTCTAGAGGAGATTTACTGCTTTGGAAACTCAATAGAGAGTCAGTATGGATTGGAATCTACTCCACAGCAGTGAGTTTAGTTTTAATGTATTTGTTTATCTAATGGTAGTTAAAGTCAAGAGGAAAGCCTTGATAATGACCTATGGGACAACTTGATGTTGTTACATTTTTCCTATAAGAAGAGTTTAGGTACAGATCAGGTAATATCTAATTCCCATATTCTAAATTATCATATTCTTTCCCTGTTGATGATTCTTAGTCATGAAACAGAGACTCTTCTTGAACTTTTGTTCCAGGGCTGGGTTAGCTGACAAATGGATAGTCCTGATTTTGAGAATGTAACATATGATGATATATACTTATTTCCACATTCTTTATCTAGCGAAAGAAAGAGTTGGTTATGAGTCTTTATTGTATTTTCTAATTGACATACTTACACTGTCCCGGAGGTCTCCTTTGTTTATGAAGTAGTCTGGTCACATCCTGCTTCTTAGAACTAACCCTGCAAGAAATGAAAATATCAACAAAGCCAAATAGTAATCAGAATCGTGTTGGAACTTTGTCAGGACAAAGAACAATACTTGTTATGGACTAAAAATTGAGAGAAGAGGAAGGAAAAGTTGTATGAAATTACAGAAGGAAATTGGCAGTTTCAGTATTTCTTTTTTGGCATGACCAGTCTCTTCCTGGTTATGGGGCTTGTTGCCAGGAACCTTTTTTCTTCATGGATAAAAAGGTGGTAAAGCTGAATGTCATCCCTTTTGTATTCCTGTGGTCAACCAAAATGATGTTCTCCATTGCTTTACTCCTCTTAGGCATGTTGTTCCCTGCCATCCAGGCCAACCAATGTGACAAATGTGAGCTGGCCCAGAAACTGAAAGACATGGATGGCTATAAGGACATCAGTTTGTCAGAATGTGAGTTTTTTGCTTTCCTACTTTGTCCTACTTTCTATCTGATTATCTCCTCTAACATCCTTTTTACTCTTCCATTTTTATTTAGTTACTGAATAATCATCCTATCTTCTTTGCTTCTATTTTTTTTAAATTTTTATTTTATTTTAATAATTTTAATGAACATTTACAGAGATTTTGGATTTCCGTTCTTTACTTCTAATTTTTAAAATTGTGATTTGAGAGAAAATATACAGAACAAATCAGTCTTCCATTAAACCATTTATATACAATTTGTTGTATAACAATTAATTACAGTATTCTCAATGTGACTAGTCTCTCCCCAGTTTCTCCCTGTGATTTCAATTTCTGCTATTCTTTCCTAGCTCTCCCTACCTTCTTCCTTGAGCAAACTCTGCCCTTTTGACATTATATAGTTGGTTATTCTAAGAAATCAGTGCCCCTTTTGTGTTATTATTGTTCACCTTATACATCTGTGTATTGTTTGGGTTAAAGGTGATCATTGGGACTAAATTTTGTTTTGTATTTGAAGGGTGATGAAGGATCATAGTCTTGGAGCTTCCACTAGTTTCTATTATATCAGTAGGCATGGCCTTTTTATGTTTCTGAGTTTTATTCCCTATTTTCCTCCACTCTATCTAGTACCTTCTACTTTGATCCCTTTTAGAGTGGTGAGCTGTGGTAACCAGACATTATATAGTTCTTCTGATATATGGTCTATTATAATTGTTTCTATATGTCTTTGCTTTTCTTCCCTCTTCTTTGCTTTTGACAGTAAGAGATTGATGGTTGTACTTGAGATGGCTGTCTGTAACATGTTAAGGCCCCAGTTGCAACTCATCAAAGCAGAATGTGGGACATTTTCTTTGTGGGCTATGTTATACCAGTTGCCCTTGTCTCCTGAGACTGTAGTGCCAAAAGCTTAGGACCAACAACTCATTCCCTCAGAATATTTGGTTACTATTAAGAAGTTTACAAAGCTTTGCCTTTCTTTGCTGGTTTTGCTATTGTTGTTGTTTACCATTAAGTTGGAACTAACCTATAGCTGACCCTCCAGAGGGTTTTCAAAGACAGCAAGTCACATGGAAGAGATTGTTCATCCTTCTCTCAAGGCACAGCTGGTAGATGCAAACCACGGGCCTTTGGGAGAGCAGCACAGCTTCTTACCACTCATCTGCCAAACTTATATATGGACATGGCTATATTTTCTTACACTGTTATCTCATTTCTGGTCTTATGTTTTTGTATCCACTGTGTAAACTTTTTTGGAACTTTTCTCTTGTCATCCAGGTATTTTGTGTTTTACCATCTTTGAAGATTGGCAGTAGAGCCATTTTCTAACTGGGCCCTATAGGTACGCATTTATATTGAACATGAACATTTTTGTGATACCTCTTTTCCATCTTTATTTCAGGGATATGTATCATATTTCATATGAGTGGTTGTGATCCACAAGCCAAAATTAACAACAATGGCAGCACAGACTATGGACTCTTCCAGATTAGCAATAAATATTGGTGCAGAGATGACAACATCCCTCAGTCAAGTAACATCTGTAATATCTCCTGTAACAGTGAGTAACCACTTTTACCTCATTCTTCCTATTCTGGAGATTGGCTTTGGGATAATTTTCTTTTCAATGCACTTCTTTCACTGAACATCATGCTAACCATAGAGCTTGAACTAGCAATGCTGAATAAAAAGGTGTTTAAATTTTTGTGATTATCAAATCCCAGAGATTCACTTGATGTTCAGGAGTAGGAAATCTTAGCTTTCACGAAGTCATACAGCCTGATGTTTCAAAGTATATTCAAGCCAAATCAGTTGATGAAATTGAGAACTCTTCCAGAGACTTCCTAGAGACATGGAGGGATTTTCTAATGAGAAGAATGACCAGGTTGGCTTTTTCATATAGAAAGAAAACAGCCATAAACCTTAAGTTTGGAGAAGAGCCAGTCCTCTAGGATCTAGGGAAGAGGAAAACTCACTAACTTTCAAGGTAATATGTCACAATTCCTTTCTTCTTTCCCTTCATACTTCTAGAGTTCCTGGATGATGACCTTGAAGATGACAAGATGTGTGCAAAGAAGATCGTGGATATTAAGGGAATTGACTACTGGTAAATCCCCATTTTATTTGGTACTTCCCCCTTCCCTCTTTTCCCGTTTAGCCCTAACACCTTAGCCCTTCCTCCACCTCTCCTTAGTCGGCCAATGAATCTAGAATCTAATCTCCAGAAGAGAGAATTACCTGAAGAGTGTTTTAGTTATCTTGTGTTACTATAACAGAAATGCTACAAGTGGTTACCTTTAACAGACAGAAATTTATTCTCTCAGAGATTAGGTAGCTAGAAGTCCAAATTCATGGTGCAAGGAAAAGTCTTTCTCTGTCAGCTTTGAAGGAAGCTCCTTGTCTCTTATCTACATTGTTGGTACAATGTCTCTTGGAGATCTCTATGTGTGTTTTTTTAATTTTTTTTTAATTTGAAAAGAGTTTTTTTTCTATCCCTGTGTTTTGGCATAATCTTTCCCTGGGTCTATTTAGTTCCCAGGACAGGGACTTTGGGTTCAAAGGATATACACTGCTCCTGGGTCTTCTTTCTTGGTGGTAGAAAGTCCCTCTCAAATTTGCTTGTTTAATATATTTTAAATTTCAAGAGAGATTGACTCAAAATACTACCTAATCCTATAGATTATATCCTGTGTTATTAACTACTGTAACTATTGGTAATTCTACCTCATAAACATTATAGAAGTTAGGATTCACAACATATAATTAGATCACAAAAAAGATAATTACATAATACTGAGCTTCAAGTCTAGCCAAGTTGCAATTTATTTTTGAAGACACAATTCAATCCATAGCAAGTAGATTCAGGTCTTAAATTCTTAGCTCTCCCCTGAGACTCCTAATAATTTTCTTAATAACGAGCTCTTTTCTGGAGATCTTGCTCTCCACAACCTTTCCAAAGTGCTAAAGAGCAAGAGCATTAGTTTTAAGACTGAGGTGCAACTAATCCAAGCCATGATGTTTAAAATTGCTTCCAATGCATCAGAAAGTTGGATAATTAATAAGAAAGATTGAAGAAGAATAAATGTCTTTGAATTGTGATGTTGGAGAAGAGTATCGAATATATCATAGATTGCCCTGACCAGCAGTCAGGAAATCAAAAAGCGTATCACGATGGGAAAGTCTGCTGTTAGGGACCTCTCTAAAGTATTCAGGAGCAACGGTGTCTCTCTGGA